GTTTTCGGATCCACAGTGGAACCGACTAATCCGAAATCAAGTCGGGTAGGACCACAAGGGCGGCAAAGCTCTCCCTCAAGAGTTTTAATCAACTTTAACTTTAGAGTATATGGAACCAAAAATCAAGGGCACGCTTGTTTATTAATTAATATGTTCAAAATACTTTATTATTGTTTGGTTAATAAAAAGTTAACTTTAGAAAAATATGATATGATGAGCTATTAGTGAAATTTTAAAAAAAATATTTGAATAAAATGATTAAAATTGATTTAATGTAAACGCAAAGGATAAATGATTAGGTAACTAAAATTATGTGAGTGGATAAATAGTGAATTAAAGTTGTCGTCATGTGTGAAAGAATGATTAGTTTATATTTTTTTAATTCACATGTACTATTCATATATTTTAATTTATTTAACAAGCCAAAATATTATTTAATTGAATATATTAATTTATAAAATACAAATTTTACAACGTTGGTTGGTTTGCTACTAGTTTGAACTTTGAAGTAGTGTTTGACAAAAAAATTGTTATTTTTGTTTATTATTTGATTCATTTTATAGTAATTCATTATAAATATATATGTAAAAAAATATTAATTTCATATAATTTTAAAAAATTAATTTATAAATTTATCGGTACATACTTGGTCAAATAATAAATTTTAAAATAAATGCAATACATACAATATAAAATTAATAAAAATAATTTGTAGGTGGAGCCGGAGTGTAAATCATACTCAGGAAAGACTTACTATAGTGGTGGATATGCCATAGGGATTGTTTTTTACACCCTTTAATGGTAGCAATAATATTGAACTCGATACAAGACTAATTAATCTGATGTCAATTGGCATCATGACAACTTGGACACCAACTTTACTCTCAAAATGAAGAGGAAAATTTCTACCATAAGAGGCGCCAGTCCCTACAAATCATAACGCAACACACGAACAACTACGTACCTAAACACAAATTCGCACCAGACGAAAGACAATTCGCATCAAATTAAACTTGACCAGTCTTCTGTTATCCAAACCGACTGAACTAAGATCATAGAAGATTGATCCTAACAAAACTAAACACACAAACAAAACAACAACACGAACAAAAGGCCTAAAAAAAGACCAAACAAACTACACTTACCAAAACCAAACAACACATAATACATAAAGACTAAAATCCTTCGGGCTATCGACGAGCATGACGCTGCTACCACAAAAAAGCATCGACCCAAGACAACCACCTAAGAAAACTCGGACTAAGGGAACACGAATCACGGATTTGGATACTCCAACACTCCTGACAACTATCGGCTATGCAAAGACGACCCTGGACTTGCCTTCATCTCAAGCGACCATCACAGGTGATATGGGATATTATATACTGGACCGATGGTCGAGCGGGACCGGACACCGACCAAGTAGAGCACCGAGTAGATAGCGACAGTTAAGGGAATCCAAAGTGGTCGACAGATACCAGTCATCCGAGGATATGGTCGAGGAAAGATGATCGAGGAAGCCTGGACGCGCAAAACTGGTAGAATACCGGACCTCACCCGGGAGTCCTCAGCACGTAGAGGAAAGGACACGTGGCGGACTACGGTTGGTCAACAGCCGTAACAAACTCTGATATTCTCTGACAAAGGAGACGCGTTTCTGACACCAAAGATAGTGGAGGCGCGCGGTTGTACGGACGAGCAGAGGATAGCTAGCCGAACTCGCCTTGCCTGCGCGTGCAGCTCAGGTAACTCGCCCTTATAAATAAGGGCGAGAATCCTCATTTTCAACAGAATCTCACATACTCATACATCCTCATATACATTGATATCATCTCTCAAGATCTGACTTGAGCGTTGGAGGCTCTTCACCGGAAAACACCTCCGGTGTGGGAGTTTCGTGCAGGTTCCGCGTTCAACCGGCGAGGAAGGCAAGCTTAGGACAATTTCCAGCCGGTCCGGGTGCGAGACTTGTATTAACAGGATAACGGCCAGAAGAGCAACCACTGCCTTCACAACCACCCCGTCAGCAACACCCGACTGTTGACCTCCGGCTAAAGAGAGGCGGATATCGTGGTTCTCTCCCAACTGCAAAAGGCTTGATTGAGATGTCGCAACCACGAGGTTGATACTTCACTTGAATACAACGATCAAAATTCCTGATTTGTTTTATGATCACCTTAGAATCCCAAAGACATAACAACCCTTTTGCCTCTCTAGGAGCCACTACTTTACATCTATCATCAGCAGTTTTGCTATGGAACTATCGGATGATTCGGTTATGAAGTCATCCATAGTTATTGATAAATGGTGTATTGACACGTGTCCTGCAATAAATGCATTTTGGACATGTGGCAATATATTAAATGATAAATGGCTCCATAAGAAAACCATCTGATGGCTCCATAGAATTTTTGCTATCTTTAGACCCCAATTTTTTGCAAACTAACCAAGTAAATTCTTTTTGTTTTTGTTTTTTTTTTTCTGACATAAAAATAAAACTTAGGTGGTGAGTTTTGATAGCATCTCTAGTTTTGGGAACTGTAGAGAGTCCATTCAGCTACGGTTCTACCCCATAGCCTTTATTCTTGAATTTAATTTTAATTGTTAAACAAAGATAATTAATATAATATATATTCAAATTTTAATAGTTGATCTATTATTTATTTATTTATTTTTCTTTACTAATGTCCACAGGCAAGCATGCCTTGAAATTATTAGTATTAACTTAAAAGAATGCAAAAAGTATAAAATTCCGTCAGACAAGCAGAGGCACATGTGTAACAATGACCTCACATCACATTATTAAGTTATAGGCATGTCACAAATTCAGTAGTTGGACGGTCTCACTAAAGACTACATAAGAACAAAATTTATACAATAAACTATCGTATTAGCATTTAATATATTTTTTAATATATATATTTTTAAAAACTAATCATATTTATAAAACAGAGAAATGCTAAAGTCCCATTACGTAACCATTTCTCGGGATTTGTAACGTTAGATGATCATGTAACCTTCAGAGGTAGTTGATCTAACAATTACAAACTCGAACTGAATAGTTCCTTAACGGCACCGCAACATTTTCCTATAAAGGTGTCCATAATAATTAGTTTAGATCATACTAGCTAATACAGATAAACATATATTAATGTAAAATGTATAGGCATGTCTCCTATTAATATATTTATTTTCTGAAAAAAATTTGTTCTCAAGGATATATTATTAGTGATTTTAATCTTCTCCACCACTTTACCACTTATTATTATTATAAGTTTCAGTCCACTTATTTTTATTTTTTCTAATGCAGAAAACAACTGTAATCTTACATTCGTTAGAAGTCTACTGTCTAAACATTCATTCAACGTTTACAACTGTGAGAAAAAAGTTAGGTTGGTGTGAAAATTTTGACTTTTCAGAAATAAAAAATTAAAAATACGAAGAAAGAGAGAAGAAATGACTTAGAAATGTAGATATGAATTTGACATAATATATACATAGACGTGGCCAATTGCCGGCGGGCCTCAATTTCGTGGCCCGGCCCGCACATTTATATGGATTGGTTCATAGAACCGGCCTTCAACCGTTCGTTCACCGTCCCGGCCGATTTCGGGCCAGTACGACCCATTTAAAAAAATAGTAACAACATTGCGGCCCGTCTTCCAATCCGCGGCCCGACCCGACCAGGCGCAGACCGACGAGACAAAAAAAATTACGAACCGGGACCGCAGCGCGGCCCAAAAGGTCCAGTTCAACGAACCAACTCTTAGAAGGCCGGTCCATGGCCGGTCCGGAACCGGATACGGGCCGAGCCGGCCTTGACCATGTCTATATACGGGAAAAAAACAATAAACATGAGAAATATTTTTGTTTTTATTGAATTGATTTGCGAAGTATTATATATTTTCTAATTAGGAAAAAAACAATAAACATGAGAAATATTTTTGTTTTCATTGAATTGATTTGCGAAGTATTATATATTTTCTAATTAGAACTTTACCAAGCCATCAAACTTTGTTATTCATGCCAAATTTTGGTAATTAATATTCATGTCATGTCATCACAATTTTTTCCCAACTGTACCATAATGGAGAAAAATAATAATTAGCTAAAGGTAAATTTTATTTCTAAAATCCACATTGAATTACTAAAAAAAAAACTTTAATATAACCCTCATTAATAAAATATTTCGTTTGAGAAATATAAGACTTTTTTGCAACGGTTTTTATGAAAATCAATATTAAAAGTCTTACTTTACATCAGTTGTTAAAATAACCGATGTAAAAGGGTTTAAAATTAATCAATTTTTTCCATTTCTGAGACCTGTTTTATCCCTTTCAACATCGGTTGTTGCGAACCGATGTAAACAAGATTTTTTTTTTTTTTTTTTCACGTCGGTTCAAAATCGATGTACAAAAGACGAACTTTTAACATCACCTGTTTCAACATCGATTCTAAAAAAAGGTTTGAACCGATGTGAAAATAATTTTTATTTTTTTCCTTATAAAGGTAAATTTTTATTTCTAGAATAAGGCCATTTTCAGCCCTTATCTCTACTCTAGTGCGGACATTACTCTACTCTAGAGTAGAGTTGAACATTCATCTCCAACCTTTATCTCTACATTTTACTTTACATTAAATATATTATTTTTTATTTATTTGTTACAATAAATATATTATTACTTTACATTTTACCCTAGACCATATATGGTCTAGGGTGTAAATATTAAAAAAAATTATAGCGCGGATGAACAGTGTTGCGCCA